CACAGCAAGAAAAGCCATCCTAAGAGGCACACAGCTGGCTGAAGTGGACAAGGCTTTCTCAAACACTCGCGGTGGGTCAAGTGACCTCAGGAAAATTCACTCTGCTTTCCAGTGGCCTTGGGATCATCCTACCCTTTCTCCATTTCTATTACTAGTGATTACACCAATTACGGAAGATTAAACTCACCTAGACAAAGCAGGGTCTCTTAATTCACAAGAGAAATGAGCCAACTTGTGACCTGTCCTGTCTCTGCCAGAACTCAGCTTCTCTCAGCAGAGGTGAGAAGCCAGGGTGCACTTGCAAGTGCAGATCCATCAGCCGGAGTCAACCGAGCAGCCTTGCATAGCCGCAATCACCATGCACACTGTCATTACAGTAATAATCACTTGCTAATAGGAGCAGCGGCAACCAAGATGTGCACTTAGCCGCTCTGTTTACAGGCGGTCCCTGTAGCCCCAACGCATGCCTTCCTCTGGGTTTGGTTCCAAAGGCCTCCAAGTACACGAGGAAACCTGCTGGGTATTGTGAAATCAACCATCAAAAGAGAACTTGCTAAAAATTCTGCAGGAGTCTCTGCCCTCGTGTCGGGGAAGGGAGAGAGGGCTGGCAGAATACTAACTTGCTGCTCGGAGATGATCAAAGCCTGCAAGAAATGGATGCAACATTCAAAGAGACTCAGAGAGAGAAAGGAGGAGAATGTCTTCTAATCACCTAACAACTTATTTTTGGCACAGTTTTTCACCCAATCACCTTCCATAGAAATAGGACGCCTACATTAAAAAAAATGCATAAAATGTATCGATACCAAATAGCACAGTCCTTCTCTGTTTTTACATTATCTCAGTGTTTGTGTGTGGGTGTGTCTAAACGTACTCACATGTGTGTACACACGTGTATAATACGCGATACCAGCATGCAAAAAGTAAACAAAATTGCTTTGCAGATAATGAAATAGAGATGTAATCCAAACATACTGGGTTTCAGAAGAAAAAAAGTCACCTTTACAGAAGCAGTGGGGGAGGGGCCAGTGTTGTGGCGCAGCGGGTTAGGCCACCTGCTGCGATGCCTGCATCCCATACGGGCATGGGTTCAAGTCCCTGCTGCTCCACTTCTGATCCAGTTCCCTGGTAGTGCACCTGGGAAAGCAGCAGAAGACGCTTTGGTCCCTGCACCCACTTGGGAGCCCCAGAAGAAGCTCCTGGCTCCTGGGTTTGGACCTGTCCAACCTGGGCCATTGTGGTCATTTGGGAAGTGAACCAGAGGATGGAAGACCATCCCCCCGCCAACTCTTTCAAATAAATAAAATAGTGTGTCAGGATGGCCGAGTAGTCTAGGGCGTTGGACTCAAATAAATAAAATACAACTTTTTAAAAAATGGGGGAAAGCATGGTGGCAGTATTGCATTTCTTAAATACCCTTACAACGTATTTCAGTTATTCTAAAAATTAATGCAACCAGTTTTTTCTTTTTTCAAGTTTGAGCACATTAATCTCTGCTAGATGATCTAATGGGACTGACATCTTGGAAAGTGCCATGAGTATAAGGATCTGTCAAGAAAGATTTGACTTTCTAATAGGTTCAGCAAACCAAAAACAATCCACACACACACACACACAATCTCAGAGAGCTCTAACACCCTGCCTCTTGTTGATGCACTAGTTCTATTTTGAGGAAGAGAATATAATGATGTTTAAAGATGTCTGCATTGGAATCTAAAACTTCAAACGATTCGCCACCTTGAACCTCATATTCAGAGAAGCTGACTGACCATTCAGGCACCTTCCAGGGGTCTGACCCCAAGCCTCACAGTGAGTTCTGTGCACACAGTGGGGACTGCACAAACCCCTACCATGTGCATTCAAAGGGCTGACACAGATAAAGGCTTCATCGAGGGTCAACAGCACAAAGGGTCTATCTAGTTTGTGCTAGAAGAATCTCACCCACGCTGGCGCTGTTCAACGGGGGACAGCGGATTCTCGTTCTGGACTCCCAGGGAGGAAGGGATCCCGCGAGGGGGGGCGACCAGTGCCTCTTCCTGAACACCATCACCGAGCTCTCTTCTCCACCCTATCAGAACCACTGTGCTCCTAGCCTGCCCTTCTCCACCCTATCAGAACCACTGTGCTCCTAGCCTGCCCTTCTCCACCCTATCAGAACCACTGTGCTCCTAGCCTGCCCTTCTCCACCCTATCAGAACCACTGTGCTCCTAGCCTGCCCTTCTCTGCACAAGAACACCACGTTCTCTTACTCAAAGGGGAAGCCTTCTATTCCAGTAGTAATAAAACTTCTTGCATTGCCACCTACTCTGCTGTCATTCCTAGGTTACTTACGTCTAACTTACACCATAATCGTTTTCTCTTTTAGGAGCCCTGAAAAACCACAGTATTCCTCTCATATCCCCATGAAGTAAAACACAACATCAAATTGTTTAACTTTCCTTATAATTCAGATGAGGTCTATTAACTACCTCAATTTTACTGTAGAATTAGCAAAGCGCAGAAATTCTCACTTAAAAATAAATAAACGCACTGATGCAACTAATACTTTTCCTGAAATCTGTCATTTAAGGCTTACAATTTTTTTAAATCTTATTTTTTTTAACTTGAGGGGGTATCAGTGGCAGCTGCTGAAAGCCCACAGAGATATGGATGCATTAATGAATTAATACCTGCTTCATCTACCAATGAAGTTGCTCTATTTGTAACTACACCAGCATGGGACCTTCATACATTATTCAGCTAAATTTAAAGCCCCAAACCACAAAATCTCCATCCTCATCTGCAGAGTCTTGCTCTGCTTTGAAAACAAAACAAAACAAAACAAAACAAAAAACAGGACAACACAACAGTCTAACACTAGAATTTTCTCGCAAGAAAACAATCACTTTTAGTGAGGCAAACCCTCACAATTTATCAAGGCAAGTCCCTGCAAGAATATTTTAGAGTGATTTCAAAACGAAGCGTAACAAAAATTTTTTATAGCCATTTCATTTCCAAATTTGCCTAGATCATATTTTTAAAGGAAATCTTTTCCTCGTTTTTTTTTTCCCCCGTTTTATTAATCTGGATTGAAGCAAAGCACACATTTCCTTTATTGTCTGGATTACAGATTCTTATTAAACAAACCAGAGCTCATTATAAAATCAATATCAACTTAACCACCATGCCCCCAGGAGGAACAGCAAAAAGGTCACTCTAAGAAATTCAAACAATTTTCCTACTGGAAGGGCATGATTTTAATTACAGATACTATTAATTAGAGCTGTCACTGGCAAGGTTTTTTTTTTTCCTGTTAATTATCACAAACTCAGTCCTAAGTATGCATTTTCAACCTGCATTTTTGCAAAAAAAATTAGCCATTTCTGCATGCAAGACCAACCTTTCCATTCTATCAATATTTTATATTTGAATTTCAAAGTGTATCACAGGACACAAGCTTTCTAAAAACCTACGCCTGTGTGATCTCCCGTCTCTCACACATGGAATAGAACTGGTGTGATAATTTATTTATGCTCTGACTCGGACTTGGCCCTGAGACCTGGCATCCTGTATTGACGGTCCTGCTCAATAGAACTTCTGGATGAATTTTGACTAGTTTAGGTGACATTTTTTTTCAGGCTGCTTCTTCAAACGTGATTTCTTTCCCCTTCGCTTTGAAGCAAAGCCGCGCGCTGCGAGTGAAATGCCATGTTCGCCACATTTGAAGTTGCCACTTCTTTACGGGAAAAATATCGCACTGCCAGGAGACCACAGGTTTTCTCCACTCAGCGACAACACTGAAAATCTGAAATGGGAGGAAAGGCTATCTCCCGTCCCTGTTCGCTTTTGAGCACAGGGATTTTGTAAATTCATGGCAGCTCCTTCCGTGGGGCAGGGTTAGAGTGTCCCCATGGAGCAGACACGGCAGCTCAGACTGGTGCATGGGGCAGTGGGGAGGGGGGTGGGGTTGGGGGGAGCACACTGCTGGTCGAATGGAGGGTATTTCTGGAAAGAGGTTGAGAGCCCACCTAGGAAACTCTGACAACAGGATAATACGATCCACTTTATATATGAGTGTAAAAGGCAATGAATTATTTACAAGTCATAGTATAATCATCATCATGTGATCTGAGAAAACAAAGGGTCCAATGGGGAGAAAAAAAAATCTTACAAATTTTTCACTGATTGAACTTAGAAAACAGTGATTAAGCAAATTATTTTATCTTCCCAAATGGGAATATACACTCAGAATGAAAGACTATTTTACACGAAAACAAATCAAGTGGCCTGACTTCACGTATCTGCTGGGTTGGCACTGCTGTTAAGAGCCGAAGTCGCATTTTCACTACAGGACACAGTGAAACCCGAAATGCATGCCACACAACTTCTCACAGTTCTGCAAGCTGCCTCCTGCCCCATTCCTCCTGAACCTGCCTCCCTCACTTCCTCATTGGTCTAATTTATTTCCAGGTGTGTTTGCAAGCACTCTGTGTTTCCAGCTCACGGCTGCCGCTGCTGTACCTGCGGTTTGCCAGCGTTAGACTTCACGGTAGCAGAATAATAGCAGAGGGTGGGAGCAGATCAGGTCAAAAGATCTTTTCATCTAAGACTCTGAGAGGAAGTGCATGATTTAAGACATCTTCAAACACCTACACAAGCAATTCATCTTGCAACACTGGATTTCTCATTAATAGAGGCCAAACTAAGAAAGATAACAGATGATACATAATTCATGCATTGTGCTCCCCCCCCATTTCTAATTAGCAACCTGCGTTCACAGCTAACAGGAGACCCTCCAAGAACGGCCCAAGATTAATATAAGAGCCGTAAAACTGTAGTTGCAAGGTATTGACATGAATGTTAATGAGAAGTTTCAACTGGCACCATAAAAGAACCCAAACTATGAATAAGTGAGCGAGTGCTGGCAATGGGAGAGGGAACGAGATGAGCCCATCGCCCGCTCAGTTGATAATTCCAATACTGCACTTAGAACAACAACAACAACAAAGTATCCTTTTACCTGGTAGGCGGCAGTGGCATCGGCACCTGGGTGGCCCCCTAGTCCTGACAGCTTCTCCCGCAACTTGTAGTGAGAGCTGTGGCGGATGCAGTAGAGGAGGCCCGAAGCCAGGAGGACGGCCAGGATGCAGGCGACGGACAGGAAGGTCAGCACGATGAACTTGGTGGAGTCCTCTTGCTCCGCCTGGTGTGGCAGGAGCTTCAGCTGGCTTTTCTGCAGACCAAGGAAAAGAGGGGGCAAGTTAGGCCTTCGCAAACCACGCCCCCCTGAAAAGCCAAGCTCCGCCAAGGCAGAGGGTGGTAGGGTCAGACCAGACAGCACCCCCCCCTCCCAAGGGGAGCAGAAGTGACTTCAAAATAGCACTCCGCAGGCTGCAATTCTCTAGGAGGGAGTTGGAGGCATCAGTCCCCCACGGTGGGTGGCTGTGTTTCAAAGTTAAGGTATCTGGCAGCTAATTTGCTGTCTTAAATCAAGTATCCGTCCCTTCTTCTAAACCGGTGCACCTGTATATCCAGGGCGTGCACGGAACGCAGGCCTGGCTTTATCCGCTTTCACAGTCACCCGAGCCCCAGGCGTTCTGCCGTCCCGGGAAATGCTCCCTGGCCATTCCAGGCGTCCCCCTGGCGTGCGTGGTCCCGCCAACTCCAGCGCAGACCCCAGCACCTGCCGCCGAAGCGCTGTTCCCGGAACGGAACCGCCAGCCCTCCGCTGCCGGGCGGCCCGGGAAGTTCCCCGTCTCGGCCGTGCAGGGTGGGGGAGTAGGAGAAGGTCCCCCCCACCCCCTGGCGCGCTGCGCTCGTCTCCACGTGCAGCGCGCTGCACGGCGCTCCCCTCATTAGCTTCATTAGGAGGTGTATTAGCGACCCTTCAACACGCCACAGCCAAACCGCCCGAGACCCCCGGCCAGCAGACCCCCGCCCCACGCCCCCCACAATTACTGGGGAAATGAATGGGAAAGCACGCCCTGCCTCAGTCCCGGTTTGCTACAAGAGGAGAACAATTAGCAAACTCTTTTCCACCACCTAATTTCGCGTGGTAACAAAATGGATTTTTCCCCATGAATGCCCGGCCGGCCTATTCATTATCTCTCCTCTATTACTAATTTTCTGCTCCGCATCAGCCTCCCAACTCTTCCATTTCCTCCTGTCTCCGAGTGTACACAGTGCCTCTGTGTCAGGCCGGGCCCAGTTTTATCTTGTAATCATAAAGGCCACGAAAGCAATTATCGCCGGTCTTGACTGCGAAAGCTGGTCATTAATTAGCCTCCGGTGCCGCGGATTAGCGGGCGCTGGGACTGAGTTAATGGAAACGCGGGTTAAATGAGAAAAGGCGCCCGGATTTTGCTGCCTGGTTGCGCGCTCGAAGCAGGACGGCGAGGGTTCGCGGGCGGCGGACGGAGCGGAGGGGAGGGGCAGTGGGAGAAAGGCGGGCGGGAGCTGGGTTGGGGGTGGGGAGGAATGGGGAGGGACCCGGGATGACGACGAGGGGGCGGGGGCGGCCGGGGACGCTCCGAGCGGCCCAGCGGTCCCGGCCGCGGGGAACCTGCGCGCACAGTCGCCCTCGGCGTGGAGAGCGCGGAGAGGAGACCCCTCCCCAACCCTCCCCGGCTTCCTCTCCCCCCACCCCCTCCCTGTCGTTTCTCCCTCCCGGGCCCAGGCAGCCGCTTCCAGAAGACAGTCCCTCCGCCCGACCCACGCCCCCCCCCAAAGGTAGCCGCTCGGAGCCCCCACCCGCGCCGTCCCCATCCCCCGCACCCCTCTCCCCGCCCCGCGCGCGGGGCGCGAGCCAAAGCCACGTAAAGAAGCCGGAGGGGGCCAACCCAGGCGACCGCCGCGCGACCGGGTCGAGAGGGAGCGCGACTTCCTCGGGCCGGGGTCTCGGCGGCCCGGAGCGCGGAGGATCGTTGGCGCCCAGCCCGCCGCACCCCGCGCCCTCCGCGCGCTGTCCCGCGGGGAGGAGCCGCAGCGCACCGGAGCTGGGGGCGGGGAGGAGCGCCCGAGACTCCAGCCCCGGACGCTCCCCGAGAGCTCCGGCCTGGGGTCCGGTGCGCGCCAGGACAAGGGGCCCGGCTCGCCCGCCGCCGCCCGGCAGACAGGGCCGCCTTCCCAGAGGCCTGAATTGACACCCAGGTGGGCGGGCGTTGCCCACAGGACAACTCAGGGTCCCCCGCCTGGTCCCGCCCCGCCAGCGGCTACGAGTCTCGGGTGGATCCCGCCTCGCCCAGGCGGACGGAACCCGAAAACAAAGGAAGCGGCGGCACGGCGGGCAGAGTGGGCGCCGGCTGCTGCCCTCCCACCCCTCAGCCCGGGCGGTCACTGCGCTCATTCCCAACCCGCGCCCGCGCTGGCGAGAGCGCTCTCCGCGCCCCCAGCGAAGCGTAGCGTTCGCGAGGGGTCCCGCCCAGCAGTCGCGAGGACCCGGGGAGCCCACGTGGCTACCTGCGCCTGGGAACAGGGACTTCCCGAATCTTCCCGCCCCGCGCACACGCGCGCGGTGGCCAGCCTGGGTCTCCACGGTGTGCGGCAGAGGCACCAGGGCGCACAGGGCCTGAACCACCGCCGGCCTCCCAAGCAGAGAACACTGACGCTGGGTGTCACTCCTGCCAGTTAAGGAGCTGTGAACGCGCGGGAGCCGCACGGTCACCCGGGGGACCACGCCAAAGCTCTTCCCAGGGACGCGGCGCAGGCTGAGAGAGACCACCGCGGCCAGCCGAGTCCTCGCCGGACTATGACGGTCGCCCTGACCCACGGCGAGCCTGGCCTGCGCGCGAAGCGGAATGGGGTCTGCCTGGCTGTCTTTCACTCGGGCCCCTTGGGATTTACTCAAAGGTCAAAGAAAAATGTCAGAGAGTGACTGCCCGGGGACCTCAGAGTCGCTCCTCCCAGGGCCCCCACTGGGTCCCAGGCGCGAGAAGGGAAAGAACGAGAAGGCACCAGAGGTGACCTCGATCTCTTCAGTCCCATACTCTCGGGTCTCCCTGGGCTCCCCCGCCCCTGCCCGGGCTTGGGCTGTTCCGCGGAGAAGGGGTGACCGGGGTCCCCAGCCAGGGTGAGAGCCGCCCCCGGCTCACCACCTCCAGCCCAGGCGCAAGGAGGCCCGGGGCCGTCGGCGAGTCTGGCCGCGCCAGCGTAGAGGGAGAGACGGGGTGTGACCGAGGGACCAGCTGCCATGGAGGTCGCGGGGTCTCAGGGCCCGGCTGGGACACCCTGCTTCCGGACCAGCCCGCGACATCTATGAAGGAGCTGGAAAAGCCACGCTTCCCCGAGGTTCCCCCACCCTGCCACAGTTCCCCCTGTCCTGCCTGGCTCTGGGCAGCATTGGGAGAGAAGGGCCTGCGTGCAAGTCTGGTTTTAAGAATCCCGGAAGACACGAAAATGCATAGAAATGCTATTTTTTTTTTAAAACAAGGCAATTCCTTTTTCACTAACAGAGTTTAGATAACTTCTTTTTTTAAAATTTTGATGTGTGTGTATGGAGTTAAAAAAAAAAAGATACTGATGACCCCTGCTTTAAGAGAAAGAAATGAGTCTCCATGGGCTTGAAAGTGGGTTTGCATCACACTCCTGATGCCAGGTGTGGCTTTCCCGGTGGGCCCCCTCCCCCCACCAACCTGGCTCCCCAACTCTGAGCAACTTTGTGTGGACTGCAAGTCCGGAAGAGAGCCCAGACTAATTAGAGGCATCTTATCAGTCTTGACTTGAAATTGAAAGAAAATGATGCTTAAATATTTATGACTTTGACATTTACAGTCAGGCGCCTTTTAAAACCAGAACACCTCCTTCTGTACAGCGGCTGCTCCATTTACTGAGGGTTGGAACAGGCAAGCAGTGAGGAGGAGGAGGGTGGAGAAGCAGCAGCCCTCCAAAACGTGCCTGGTGGCACAGGTGCACATGGCGACCCCAGCATCCCCAGTTGCAGGAGGCACACACAGGGAGATCAGCACTCTGGTACCAAGCACTCTCAGGTGCAGGAACAATACAACTTTCCATCACCAGGAGTGATCAAGTCAACCTAATAGCAGTAGAGATGTTTCCTGAGGGTGAGTTACAGCACAGTTACCCATTTCTCTCATCCATCTGCACCTGCAACCCCTCACGTTGAGAGTATGCAGTTTTTCAAACGTTCGGATGCTTAAAGAAATGTGTGACCCCGGAAACAACTTATAGAACTGTTCTTCGAAATGAGCACCTCGGCACTGCCTGGCCAATTTAAATCATTCTTATCTGTGCTTGTAAGTCAGAGTGCATGGAACTTCTATTACTGACTCTTCTGAGCCATTTATGGCAAAATGCCTTCAGAACTTTTTTCTTAGCTGTCCATGTGTTAAGCTTAAGAGAAAGGAGAAGAGGAAAAAAAAGGGGGGGCATTCTATACCCACAGTCGACTGTTGAGAACTGAGACAGTCACACACATACAACACTTTATGGCAAATATTTGTTGACAGCTAACAAAATTTAGTATTCTTCCAAGGTTATGTAATGTCACCATTCACAAGAGCATTATCTAAGTCACTGACTTGCAATTTTAAAATATACTTGTACCAAAAAAAAAAAAAAAAAACTTAGGGACACAGCATTCAATTTCATTAACATTAAACTTCTGATACTGTCAGTGTTTTTGTTTCATTTCTAAAGAATTTGATTTGCAAGCCCTGTGTGTCGGCACTTTTATGTTACTATAATTATAAAAAGCTTTCCCCCTGTAAAATTGAGAAATTAGTGTTAGAGACTATTAACGAATTGCTGTAGCAAGTCTGCCTTTGGTTGGCTAGATGAATTATCTTAGAGTTATTTGGAAATTCCATGATAAATTTACCAAAGCATAGTAACTACCCCCTTTAAAGTGGATCAGAATGTTTAAGTTTTCAGGCTGTGGCCAAGTGACCAAACTTTAAAAACATGGGGGAGGAATGTCTTATAATATTTATAAAAGTATTTTTTAAAGCTGTTAACTGAACTATTTTTAATTTGGAATTTGCCACAGAATTCTAATAAATGAGAGAAGTCAGGCGGAAATAATCATGTATTAATTCTCTGCATTACAAAATCTTTTCAGAAGCTATTATCAGAGCAAGAGGCACTGCGGTCTGAATTCAGGGTGGGAGAAGTCCTTTGTGCAACTGAAAGCCATTGTTCCTCCTTGCAGATGAAATTGTACTTGCAAATCTGCCATTCAAGTAGCCAAAAAAAAAAAAAAAGGCTATATGCGCAAAA